GTTCAGGTTCTCATTGGCCTTTCTTTGTAGCAATTCCCCCTCCAGATTAGGGGGCAAGATTGCTCTGGAGAGAACAGGGTCTTCTGATCTAATATGAGACAAGGTAGACCACAGGAGGCCAGTTAAGCCAGAATTTGTGGTCTGTTATCTCAATGTCCCAGAATAAGAGCATGCAATGTGCCATATCTGATGTGAAGCTCATATGAAGCATACAGGATGGTTACTGCTATCTTCACGCCTTCTCCAGTATACCAGTTCCTTGAAGTCTCATAATCCATGCTTTAGATCCAAGTTTAAGAGACACTCACCGCTTGTCTTTTCCATTCTGCCATATCTAGTTCATTGAAAAGAGCTATCTTTTTAGAAATTAAAAAATATATGCATATGAGTAAACGTTCATACTGTATGTATGTCTGTGCACCATGTATGTGCCTGGTGCTCACAGAGACTTGAAAATGGCATCAGAGTCCTTGAAACTAGAGTCATAGGCAGCTGTGAACTGGCCATGTGGATGCTGGAAGTTGAATTTGTCCTCTGGAAGAGCAGCTGGTACTCTTAACCACTGAGCCATCTCTCCAGCCCTGCAAGAGATTTTTTGAGTGTCTAACTAGTGTACATTTTAAAACTTCTCTGGTCCTCTTCATTCATCACTGGTAGCATTTTCAACACCATTTCCCCTACCTTTTCTAGCATAGTGTTCTCTATATATCAGTAGCAGCAACAGTGAACTCATTAAAACTCAAGCCAAGGTAACTCCACTGCTTGAAACCTTCTATGGATTCCATTAAACTTAAAACAAACCAGCATTTCTTGCCAAAATGGCCTCCCAAACGCCCTGCTTGTTCTTGACTACCACTCTTACTTCATTTCATGGCAGTTTCCCATATGTTTAGGCTTCATGTTCTGGGATTGTACGTTCCCATCTTGAAACTTTGAAATGTATACTCAGTTCTTCCTGGAGTATTGTTTTTCTTGGATCCTTCTCACCTTATCAATTTAACTTCTTATAGTTGTGCTTGCCCACAACTCCTCCCCTTGTTCTCCTTTTCAGTTTTTTTTTAATGTATAACTTATAAAGATTTATTCCAGTTTGTTTGTTTGGCTCTGTCTGCTCCCTTCCCATAGAGATAAGTTCTGAAGCCAGATAGTGAGCAAACTATTCAGTCTTGTGCATTGTTTTCTCTCCAGCCACAGTGGGGATGTGAGAGGGATAACACTTAGTACAAGTTCAGGATATTCAGCCAGAAATTTTTCTCAGAAAGTCCTTAGCTGGCTGGTGTGAGCATCCAGGCCTTTTCACATGGACCTCTATAGAGGTTTGAATGGTCAGTTTTCCTGTAGCATATAAAACCTACAATTATGTTATTTGTCTTCTCTACCAGACTGTGGGTAGTAGGCTCATAGGACTATCTGTTGCTCATTTTTAAAGCCCTCACCATCTAGTACAGTGCCTGGATCACAACCGACAATGTTCATATATGTGATGAATGAAGTTATCCTTTTGTTAAAAGGTAAATTGGGACCAGAAAGATGGCTGAAGTGCAGAGGTACTTGTGCAAAGACCTGGTGGCTTGTATGCTGTCTCCAGATTCCACAAGGTAGTCAGGAGACCCAATTCCTGAGAGTTGTCCTCTGACCTCCACATGTACACTGAGGCATGTGTGCCTGCACACACACACACACACACACACACACACACACACACACACAAATTCATAAAAGTACTTAAAAGGTGACTTAGTTAAAAGCGTAGGACAATGGAGAGGTGATTGCCAGTCATTTCTCTAAGGAGAGAGGAGCAGGGTTGTGTGGTTTTGGGGATACAGATCTGAACCCCTTTCTGAGGTGAAATAATTCATTTATTATAGAAGGAGAGTACTTTGGGGAAGCAAGCTATCGAACTTTACAAAGATGAAACAAAAATTGCTTAGACTTTGGAGGAAAGAGATGTTAAAGTGCTTCATGAAAAGTACTGTAGTCATGAGTGGAACGACACATTGCTTCTCCTTAAAAGGAATGGTTTCCTCTCAGTGGGTGCATGTGGAAGGAAGCTAATGTCTAAGGAGAGGGATCAAATCATAGCCCAGAAACAGGAGCTAAGGAGAGAAGTTGATTGGCTCACAGTGTCCTTGACAAGATCCAGCTTTCATTTCCCATTAGACTTGGCATTTGCTATTCTACTGTTTCCCCAAATCATTAATGAGTTTTCGATGAATATTGTAATTCTAGAAATATGACTGGAACTGTTTTCAGTGCATTCTGTCACTTATGAAACAGAGATAAACACACAGCATCTTACATATACAAACGGAATTCTGTAATTAAATTATTATGTATTTTGGAAAACTGATTCTTTAAATATTTTTGTTATATTTATTTATTTGTGAGTGTGAATGGGGTATAACTATGTGCATATGGAGGTTAGAAGACATGCTTGTGGGGTTTGGTTCTTTCCTTCTACCATGTGAGTTTTAAGGATCAAACTGGGGTCCTCAGGCTTGACAGCAAGTGCCTTTACCTACTGACCTGTCTTGCTGGTTCTGGAAAATAGATTATTTGTTTTTTTCCGCATTCATTCCATTTATTAGACTTCTCTTGAATAATCACATTCTCAGGGACACTATACTTTGTGTCTTGATCCAAGACTTCATCATGTTTGATACATACATGATTATTCTCCACAAAGAGTAGATTGTTGTAATTCTCCAACATCACATCCATGTACAATGCTCTCTGAGCACAGTCAAGACATTCCCATTCCTCCTGTGAGAAATCCACAGCCACATCCTTGAATGTTAACTGACCCTGGGGAGCATTTACCAGAGAAGCATTCATTCTTCTTATTGCTCTTCTCCACATTTCTGTCTCAGGAACAAACACCAGAATTCTTCTGGATTCTTTACTACAGCCTCCTCTCTTCACCATCCAGGGCTCTTAGGTGATTAACTGGTGAGCAGATCTGGCTCAGCAGTGGGGGATCTGGAAGGTTCCCCTGCTGGCTGCTGACTCTTCCAGAACCCCCCCCGGAAGCACTTGAGGATTAAAGTTTTCAGGTACCCCAATCTAGATTATTTGTATATCTTCCTTTTTGAGATTTATTTAAAATTTTTTATTTATTTTATTCTTCTCTCATAAAACACATCTCAAGCAGTTTCCCTCCCTCCACTCATCCCAGTTCTCTCCCCCTGACTTCCCGTCTCTTCCAGGTCCACTCCCTTTAAGTGTGTGTGTGTGCGTTGTGTGTGTGCGTGTGTGTGTTTGTAGGTCCAGGAGAGGTGAAGGTATGTATACAGGTAAAAGGAACTTGAGAGAATTATGGTTTTATGAACAACACTGTGTCCTGTTCCTCTTAGGTGATCTTTACTGAAATATGCCCAAAAGTCAGTCTTAAGATGTCCCATCAATGTCCAGTACCCTCTGGTTTCCCATTTTCCATACTTTGAGTGAGACTCTTTCTGCTTCGTTTTCCTACTCCTCATCTTGACCGTCCTTGTCAGAAATAGACTTATCTTGTCCCCTGTCTCCCTGAGCCCCATTCATTGTCACTCATCAACCCAGTGTGTACTGATGTGTGTGCCAGTGGCTCCCTGCACAGCAGGTGCGGACTTTTATGAGCGCCTTAAACTGACAACAGTAGTGGAAATTTTAAGGGGTTATGGAATGAAGTCAAGTAAAGTGCTTGCCTTCTTGGTGCTTCTGAGAGGCCCCAGCTGGCACTGATGCTCAGATGACAACCACTTGCCACTGTACAAGTTTGTACCCCACTGATGTCCGCTATGCTCAGTGACTTCACCCCTGACCAGGACATGGTGCTTGATTCAGAGTATTTAAAGCTTTTCCTCACATAGCAAGAATGGTTGATGATGCCTGCTGCTGAGAATATCCTGTCATGGTGGTTTGAAGTGTGGTCACTCAGGGAATGTATTTTAAGTCTGTTCTGTTGAGTATTTCTACCAATGGGAAGATTTTTTTGCTGGATTTTCATTTTTCTTTATGTTTATGTTTAGGGTGTTATTTTGTTGAGTCAGGATCATTCTTCAAAGCCCTTGCTGCCTGGGACTCACTATGTAGACTAGCCTGATCTCAAACTCATGTCACGGAGATACACCTGCCTCTGCCTCGTGAATGCCAGAATTAAAGGTGTGAGCTACCATGCCCTGCCCAAAGGGAAGCTTTATATGAAGTTAATTTCAGAGACTGAAGAAGTTCATCAACAAATCCATGTTCAAAACAATGACTATGAGCCATAGGACTTGAAAAAAAAATTTCCAGGTACCTAATCTTGGCCCTTGCCAAACTTAAAAGTAGCCATTTTCCTTTGTTTTATTCTCTTCTGCTGTCTCCTTTGTGCCAAGCTCTAAGGTTAATCCATCAATAAAAGCAGGAAAGCCAAGTTAGCAAGGTCTCTGAGGCCAGCAACCATGCCAGCCCATCCGTTTTTAACCGTGTTTGACCTACAAACTAGGACAATGTCTTATAGTTTGATGTTATGGTATAATTATATTATTTGGTGACTGCTTTTTGAGTGCTGATTATTAAGTAACTTTAACAGCTCCCAAGTTACCAAGCTGGGAATCAAGCAATGTCTGACATCAGCACCTTGCTTCCCCCAATTTTTAATGAACCTTTCCTCATTTTCTGGCCTCTAGATAATACAGCTAAAGATAGACTTTTCCTACTTTTTTGAGGTTCACTACACCCCTCAGAAACAGTGAGAGAATGCAGCCAGCCTTCTCAAGAAGATTAGGAGGGCAGTAAGACAACGTAGCCACCTCCAGGCTGATATCTGAGCCCTGCTTTCCACATGGTCAAGCCTTTCAGAGGGAGCCAGCCTATGGCTTGTATCAAACTCTATATTTAGGAAGAACAACTGTGAGCTATGACAGGAATTCTCTTTAACACTTCAGCCTTAAAGCGAGCTCCCCTCTAGCCCCAGCCAGGAGCAGCTCTCAGGACCGGAGAGGGACAGAGCACTCCAGCTATTTCAGCCACATGAAAAGCACTGGAATTGAGATCCCAGCTCAGAGGACACCGGGAGTTCCTTCTACCCCGTAAAGTGGTTTTTTTTGTGTGTGTGTTTTTGCACCTGGCTGCCTGGAACTGTCCTCAGGCAGTAAACAAATCCAGAGAGCAGGTAAGCAGAAGGACCCAGCTTTCACTCCCAGATTTCACGAGGAAATTTTCTGGATCCCTAACTTAAAGTAACTACTCATAACTTTGTAGGTTGCTAAGTACTGGGTGGCTTCTTTGTTAATTCCCTATTCACTAGTGGTATCCCAGATTCTATTTTATGAAGTGTGTGTGTGTTTGTGCGTGTGTATGTATGTATGTATGTTGAAAGGGTATTGAACTAAAGGAATTTTCACTGACAGGGTTGTTAATAAAATGTCCAGACATGGCAACTGTGACCTTGAAGCTCTGCTGGCCAATGTTACAGTCAGCTACAGACTGACAACATTCTCTAAGCTGAGAATCAGAAGAGTGGGCAGAGTAAAGTTGGAATGTTAAATGTTGTGTGTATGTGTGTTTATCTAAATGAAAATGACGGTGAGAGTTGTTACACGATAGAAGCTTAGAATTCTTTTCTCCCTTCCCTAACTACTGGGCTTGATCTCAGCAACAAAGTTGTGTAGACCGAACCATCTTTTTGGGAGCTTTGCTTTGGTCACTGTTTTCATGTACCCAGCAGGGTTAAGGGCAGCCCTCAGTGTCCTTACCTACGTAGGCACAGCTTGGAAGTGCAAAACCTCTCTTTTTCCTCCCAGCATACTGAGGTAGTCAGAGCATCATTCTATACCCTCCTCGGGAATTATTTTTAGCTTCAGGACAGAAGATAAATCCCTTTGAGATAGTGCTTTACTCATTTCCTTGACCTTTCAAAAAGAACAAACAAAGCTCTTCTTTCCAAATAGCGATTGATTTTCCCCTCAATCTCTTCTTGTGAAATTAGTGATATTAATGTTGACCAGTTTTAGTACATTGGAGGGTTTTATTTAGAAGCTAGATATTAGGTGCTGCCTAATCAAAGCACAATGGGGGGGGTGTTGGAGTCTATCATCCATGACTCAGCACAAAGACCATTAAAAGTTCCCACAGACTGCTAGGCAAACTTACCTGCGATCAGTTGGCAAGCATCACCAGTTTATTAAAGTCAATATGCCTTTGTCGGACTTGCAGTGCTCCAGATTGTAGCCAGATTCAGCAGACAGACACAGCAGTTGCATGTTGTAAAGAATATCTCTTTGGATAAAGAGCAGTGGCCCTGAAGTGGATGGTGGTGGGGTGAGTTTATAAATGCTGCTTCCATTCACAGAAGGAGCATGCAGATGTAGAGGGAAGGTGCACTACACGATACATCCTGATGGAGGTGAATGCTCAACCAGGGAAACAGCCAGGGAACACTATCTATTTTTATTCATCACTGTGCATTGCCCTGATTTCTCTGCAAATAATGAGGACAGCAGGAATTGCTGCTGAACTGATTTATACACATATTCTCTAGCCTGATGGTGAGAAATGAGAGTGAGGAAAGAACTGACTTTTTATAGATGTCTCTATTGAAGATTGACAAAGATGTTTAGAAGAGATCCATGTACAAATGAGAATATCGCAAAACTAGATAGGGGAAACAAGGTCTATCCTTCTGTTAGGCTCAGAGTTTCTCAGCAAATACTGTAATCTAGTAGTTGGTATAAAGTCAGTAAAAAAAGTAAAACTATGAACAAAAATCAACACGGTATAAATAAAACCATTCATTGTTTGCTGCTTTTGTATTTCAACCTGCTATTGTAATCACATAAAGGTGTTTCCCAACTCTCATAATTTAGTATACAGTAACAATAAAAACAATGTTAATTAAACTCTAGTTGTATGCACACTTAGCAAACACTGGTCAAGTCTTTAAAGTCTTGTTAGGATTATTAGTTTTTGCATTATTTCTTTTAGCTTTTGGCAAATGGAACATCACAAATTGAGCTATTCTAAGTCTATCATTTCGGCATTGAGCTGTGTATTCTAGAGTTTCAAATTAGAAAGTTCTTTATGCATCTTTGATGCTGAAGGGAAGGTAGCACTCAACTGGAAAAGGATCATAAAGAAAAATGAACAACTGTTGTTCTTACTTAATTTTTTGACTATAGTAAAATTGGTTGGTTCTTCCTGGATCCTTATTATAGAAGCAGTATATTTAGATGAAAGTTTAAAAGTTCATGTATGTTATTTTCATGTACATAGCTCCCCAAACTATATATTGAGTTATAGTAATTGTAGATATTTTAAAAATAAGTATACAATTTTTATCTTGATAGAATAGAAGCTAAGCTCTAAAAAACAAACAACAAACAAACAAATTTAAAAACCCTCTTCATTTTTACCAAAGTTCTCTGGTAATTCATTTCTGTGTTGAAGGCCATATATCAGTTCATCTCTACATTTTTATCATTAATTTTAAAAATTATTTTTTTATTTATTTACATCCCAAATGTTGCTCCCTCTCCCAGTACCCTGTCCCAGAGTTCTTCACTCCACCCTCCCCCTCCCTTTCAACTCTGAGAGGGTGCTTCCCCAGGGAATACCACCTCCCAAGGGCATCAAGTTCCTACAGGGTTAGGCACATCCTCTCATAAGGAGGCCAGACAAGGCAGCCCTCTCCTACATAAGCCCTTTGGTTGGTGGATTAGTCTCTGGGAGCTCCCAGGGGTCGGGATTTCAACTCTATGTTTAAGGCTGCAGATGAATACAGCACTCAGAAGGCACAAGCTGTGGCCATTGACATTAATGAAATAAACATTCACACCATGCTTTAGAGTTTAGAAAGCCTTGTCAGAGGAATTATGTCCCTCAAATCTTCCCATAGCCTGTGAAGCAGGACCATTTTAAGGAAGAGAAAACAGGCCTAGAAATACTGAATGTCATTGCCCAAATTTCAGGGGCCTTGTGTAAAACACTAACACTATTCCCTGTATTCATTCAGCCTCATGCATAGCAGTCAGTAGCTAGAATTTGGTCAACTCATTTTATAGTTACGATTTAGAACAGAGAATGTTTTGAATTCAATGGGTTTTAAACTTTTTACTTGGTCTGGTTGATGTTTAACAGACAGCTATAAAAACAGACCAGAGCCCGGCTCATTAGTGTTCTTTGTTCCCTTAGCTCCAGCAAACCATAGCCTATATCTCTAGGTGGGCTTTGGTTCCAAGGCTCAAAGTTAGGACTCCTGTGTTTAAAGAAGGTTTGAGAAAAAATGCTTCTATGTTTTGGGGATCTGATATGGTCATGGAATTCTACATTCTTTCTAAGATTGTTCCACCGAAGAAAGCCAGCTCCAGAACATTCTGGCTCCCATTGTTTCTATAATCTAGGCTTGTTGTGGGTGGTTGGGTGGGACATGTAGGAAGGTTAAACAACTCGGCTCTTCAGAGAGTCTCCCAACATCTTCAAAGGTTGCTGGGAGATGATATATTCGCACAGCTGAGAGAGTATTCCAAAAGCCGAGCCGTCAACATCAGGTATTACACAGAGAATGGTTGCCCCTGCTAAACTGAGTAGTAGCCCCGGCAACAGTGAGCACGGACCACAGGTTCAGTCTCAAGCCGCAGCAGGCAGCCTCTGTTGCAGAACAAAGGTGTTTCACTGATACCACCTCTCTGGTTTGCGGCTCTTGGCAGAAGGGCAAGAGGGCAGGTGAAGAGAGGATAAGGCCTTTCAAGTTTCTCATCACCTATCATTTCCATCAGGGGCAAGGCTGGGTATATCTTCTCCTGAATGATTTATCGGGGTGCTCTAGTGTTCCCTCTCCCTGAGGCATTGGGAAGGAGAGTCTCCAAGTAACTGCAGAAACTGAGACTGAAAGAATATATGGCTAGTGAAAGGGGCGACTGCCCAGTTGAATCATGAGTTAAATTCTAATTTATCACGACCTTGAATCTGAAGGCTGCTACCTCTAACAGTGTCTTGTTTTTTTTAGGGATAAGACCTCGTGAATATGTCGAAGCAGCCAATTTCCAACGTCAGAGCCATTCAGGTAAGTAGGTATATTTGTGTTTTACCATTGGCTCCATGGCTTCTGACCTCCTGCGATTGTTCATCTCTTATTATTTAACTTTAAGAAGAAAAAGTTCCTCTTTATAAGGCTAAGGAGGCAGAATTGAGAAAGGGCTGTAAGACTGACAGGGCATAATCGAGAGCCGAAGCTCCTCGTAATTGCTATGAATCGTAAGACAAAGTTTTAAAATGAGAATTACATTTTACCAAACATATTAAAGTCACAATAACCTATTCTATCCTTTATGAAGAACTGGAGAGAAGCTCCCAAAGGCTCCAAAATAACAAGTAGGAAATGCTACTGTATCCTATTTGACCAGTATATCTGGCATGCTTATATTAAAATATACTGCTAGATATACAGCTTGGTCTCCATGTGGGTCCTGAACAACTGGAGCAGGGGCTATCCCTAAAGCTGTTGTCTGTGCGTGGGGTTACCTTTGTCAAGCTGGGCTGCCTTGTCTGGCCTCAGTGGGAGAGGAAGTGCCTATTCTCGCAGAGACTTGAAGTACCAGAATGGGGGGATACCCGGGGGCCCCCCACCTGCTCAGAGGAGAAGGAAAAGGGGACGGGGGGGGGAAGGATTGTGGGAGGGGGTGATCTGGAGGGGGGCAATGAGTGGGATGTAAAGTAAATAAGTATATATATATATATATATATATGTGTGTGTGTGTGTGTGTGTGTGTGTGTGTGTGTGTGTGTAGCTAAAATACACTGTTCCCCATAAAGGTGTATGGCTATTACTTGTTAATTAAAATATATATGGGATTTTATATGTTTATTGATAGAGAATAGAACTACTTTCAGTTTTATACACAACTGGTATATAGATAGAGCAATAGGTCACAGTTTCTTGACTCATTTGTCTCAAATGTATCTTTTGAAGCAGGACATTTAACTCAGTTGTAGGGCACATGAGTAGTATATGTGAGGCTTTGAGTTTGAGTCCCAGCACTAATAAAATAAATCTTTCTTTAAACAATAACCTTTTGAAGTCAACTGTTCTCCCAAACCCTTGTGAGTTTTAAATTTATGTTATTAATTTTCTTCATGCCATTGCAACAAACTTGCTTAATTGACTTGTGTCATCCACAAACAGGAGATACAGCATTTTGAAATGTACATATAATATGAAAATAACTTTCAATATTTGTTTTCACTCAAGACTAAATCTGCTTTTTCTTTGGAGGGCTCAGAGTTTGACTCTCAAATAGCTCCCAGCCTGAAAGACTCTGAGCACAATGCTTTCCTGTCAAATTCTGTTTTCCTTTCATCAGCACGGAATCTAGCTGTGCTTTCTCCCAAGAAACTTCTTCCTTTCTGGGACTTTTCTGAATGCTGCAGGGCACGCAGTGGTTTCTGAGTAACAATAATGCCCCAACACAGCATAAACACAATCACAAAAGGCTGACTGAGTTTTAGGGTCTGCATTTGACCAGGCCTTGAGTACATTATTGAAGGTTGAACAAATCCACATTTACAGCACTGGTAAAGGGTGTTGGAGAGATGGATCTGTACTTGTCATGACTAATGTATACCCTTAAGTTGATGGAGTTCTTAAGTGGCGGGATGTCCGCCAGTCTCTGGAAACCTGTCACTGAGCAATCCTAAGGAGGAGCCAATGCATTTGGCAAGGATTCCCTTTTACTTATTGAGCATTCTGGTATCTCTAGCTAGTGAGTCTCTGATGTATCCTGACAATGGTAGTGGGCATTATTTTGTCACTTGGATCCATGAACCTTGAACCTTTAAGTTTTCTGTTTTACATGATGTTCAAATAGTAGCAAGGATTCTGAACACAGACTGCAGTCTAGCTTGTGCTAGTGCAGAAACAGGCAAAAGGATTTCCTGCTGTTTTACCCCTGGACCTCCATTTCCAAACCTGTGATGTGGAGGTAATAGTAATTCGGTTTAGGAATTAACAAACAAGATTCTGACATTTTAACAGCGTAGGAGGCAACCACTGGAGAGCAGCCATTATTCTATTTATGATCACAAGGACAGTTTATATCAGAGTCGTGATCCCTGCACTCCATGCTCGTGAAGTGCTAAACAGAAAATTTCCTTTTTATTTTTCAGAATGCTATCAGGCTGCTTTTTCATCTCTTCCTTTTAAAGCTGAAAGTGTATTGATTTTTCTTCTGTAGTGCCCTCTGGCTCATATAAATCTCCTCTGAAAACTCACCAGCATTTTATTTACTAAATTTGACCTTGATGTATTTTAAGGTCTTCAATATTTAAAATACCACTATTGGCCATTCTCAATAGCTGTTATTATGTTACACACACACACACACAGACACAGACACAGACACAGACACACACACACACACACACACACACACACACATCTACTTTACCAACAAGGGCAATCAGTGTGGATGTGGTGTTGTCTCTTTCAATATATTTGATGTCTTATCAAAAGACCAATTTAATACACTTTCAAGTGAAATATTTTTTTTTGTTGTGGCTAGCATTATCACTATCTTGTATTTTCCTATTGACTTTACATTAACCTTAAATAGGGCATATTAAACAAAATATGGAAGTGATTGTATAATATATAATGGTTCATAATAGGAACATGAGATCATGAGTTTCTTTGAAGCAAACACAAAATCTTATTGACGAGAGCACTCTAATTGGGTAAATATCATCAAATGCTTTAAAATGGTCTAATCAACACATTTCAGTTACTTCAAATTTTAAAAAGTTATTTTATTTTTATGTGTATGGATGTTTTGTCTGCATGTAAGTATGTGCATCACACGTATGCCTGGTGCCCAGAACCCACAGAAGCCTGAAGAAGGAGGTGCATCCTTATGTAGATGATGGGAGTGGAACCTGGGTCCTCTGAAGTAGCAGCCAGTGCTCTTCAACTCTGATCTATCTTTCCAGTCCATAGTCACTTCTTTTTATTAGACTCTTATCTTCAATCCAATGTAACTGCTATTTCCAGGGGACATGGTATATCTCTAATTCAATTCAATTGCAATTTCCTGGGGGAGGGTGCATATTTTGTGCCAGGAGTAGGGTATTCAACAATGAGTTGATACCTGATCTCTGTACTTGATAAGGTCATAGCCTACAGTACTTAACAGCTATATGACTTTGGGCAAGTAGTTTAACCTCTTTGTTCTTCATCCTCTGCTTATCTGTTAATAGAATGAGTAGCAGAACATCTTTCACAGCGTTTCTGCAAATATGTAATCAATTTAATAGATGTAGATGCTAGGCTAGTACCTAACTTGTAGTAATTACTTAATAAATGGCTGTTATCATCCATCAATCAGTCACCATCATCACTATCTATTTTATCAATTCCCAAAATGTATGCTTTAGAATACCATAAGTTTCATGGGATATTGTTAATTAGAGTAAGAGTTTCCATACTGTTTGGGAAACTTTCTCAGAGTCCATTACTTCTTAATAGCATCTATTCTTCTCATAAAGGCAATGTTTTCCAAACCTTTTGGACTTTTCAATGAAGAATCTTGCAGAATTCTGTTTTTTGGTGCAAATTTCCAACAGTTTACATTTAGTCTCTATTTTGTCTGGATTGAGTGAACTGAGTTTCTTTCAACTGTACTTCTCATAGGCAGGCAACTTTAAGAGTGTACAAAAAATATAGAGTCAAGCAGTTACAAATATCTGTGACTTTAAACATCCTTTGTTTACTTTTCTTTAAAACCGAGACAAACACTACTATATAAGAAGACTGTTATAATGAATGAACTAGATAGTTTATAACAAATCCCTGGTTTCTAGTACACATACTCCTTAAAAGATGACGATTCTGTCTATACAATTCAAAGAATGACCTTACTTTTTCCTCATGTAACTCCATTTCCCCCATATACCAGAATAACAGGCAGGTTAGAATTCAGCTCATCCTTACAGAAGGTAGATAGCTGTCTTTCATGTTTGCTTAAGATGGCCTCTGAACTGTAAGGAGAGTCTAAGTTACTAATATTTCCCAGTGCATTAAGTCTCAGCCAATGATGTAAAGCCATTTTGAAGGAACCAGTTGATTTTCTGTGGACTAGAGAGAGCTCGTTAAGCTCTTTGTAAAGTTATCTATATCAGATGTTGATGAAACATTTCCTGAAAAGGACCAGACAGACAACAAATATGTTAGGCTTTGAATTGTTTGGTCTGTTTCAACTATCATGTCTGCTATTATTCTCTGAGGCAGTCACAGGGTCATAAAGTGGATGAATGTGCCTGCTTCCCAACAGCTTATTTAAAAGTTTGGTGATGGATTGCATTTGTCCTGTGGATTGCAACTTGACAATCCCATTGTTGATTATAATGGGAACTGCAACCAAGGCAACATCAGCACACTGTGCACTGGGTCATGGGATGTGAAATGACAGGTGGCAGGGAAAGTTAGAACTGCTGAGAAATTTAATCCCATCAGCCATCTGCGCAGTAGCTTTCTCTAATGAGAACAAGTGATACCAGCCATTGGCTGCATCTCCTGGTCCTCTTAAGCACACCTATTTTGGGAGTCGTCACAAGCCACTCCAGAACCTCAGCTCACATACAGCCAGTCATCTCTGGGTTGACATTGATCCATTCTTTCTGACATTTGTCCTTTCCTGTGAGATCTAAGAACATCATAGCTGACAAGAAAAGAGGTTTATGCCTTAGTCGTGGTGATTTCACTAGAATGGTCCTGATAATTTGTAAGTGACCTTTAAGGCCTTGACCAGATTCTAGTAGTCTGCGAGTCTCTTGAGAGTAGCTTCTAAGGCTTAATTTTTATATGACAAAAATAGCTGTCATTATTCAATTACTGTGTACCTGCTACAGTGCAATGTGACTTTCATACATCACAAGTCAAAAGGACTGAGTCAGGTGACTCAGGCACTCAGTGTGATCCTAAAATGCAGTGTTCTATGGGCTTGTTTCTAACTCTCCCCATCCTCCCACCCCTGATAGAGGTGAATGACTGTGGATCATCTCAAGGGAAACCAC